TTCAGTTTTTTTTGGTATTGTTAATTTTTCGGCTAAATTAAAGTCTATTTTCTTAGCATGGGATCTGTTGATATTTATTATCATTATACAGGGATGGAGGATTTGGACATCGTTTTTCAAAATTTAAAGATATGATGATGCTTATTTCACAACGTTTAAGTACCAAAGCTATGTAATATGTATCGTACAAACGAGTGTTCTCTATGACTAATTCAAATGTAGAAGTATATTGTTTTGCACTAGATGACTCATGTGTTTGAGGCTATGAGTAAGGAATTCAATGATAAAAGCTTCATTTTGATCACTTTTTGTCATATTTTGTTTTTAAAGTTTGGCTTAGTTATTTATATTAAAAATAATAAAAAATGTGCATTTTTGAATGTTTATGTTGTTGCGAAAAGGAAAACTTAGCAAAAATCCTTGGATGGTTAGGAATGAATTAAAATACATAATAAAATCAAAATATAATTTAAACTTTCTGGTCAGGAACGGAGTAATTTATACTATTGCTTTTTTAATCAAATCTTCTGTACAACTAATCAACGAAGCAACAGTGTCATGCAAAGATAATTGTCATGATCATTTCTTTGGTATGTGCATGAAATCTGTTGAAATTTTAAGATTTGTATAATTGCTTTATTTAATATTTATTTTAGACTTAGCCGTTTACAGTATTAATATTGTTTTAACTTTATTGGGGTTTAATTTGTACATATCTCTTATTGTTTCTATACGATTAGTAAGTATCATAACCTTTAGCTTTGAGTAGATCAACACGTAAGACAACTTTTTCGATTGGCATACAATAAAATTGATATAAACGTTTGTAAAACTATTCATTATGAGTCGATTGGGTATGTTTGTGACACATAAAAAGTATTATGCATGTCATTTTCTCATAATGTGGTAAATTAAATTTTTTTCCTTGTTTTAGAGTTGCCCGTAAAGCTCTAGAAATCAACCTCTGAAAATATAATTCTCTTTAAATTTTAGCGGGACATCAAAACAATTTCCATAATTTTAATCGTGCATATGGTTTACGCCCTTTTATTTGTCATCAATAATTTTATGATTTCATATACGATTGCTTTGGTTGCTGGTGCATACTTCATCATTGCGAGGACAGTCATTTATGCACTACTTATAAAAATCAGTGGAGATGCAGTCACGCAGTTGGTGAGGGGTACACTTTAAAGTTTATTTCAATTATTATTATTTAGACAGAGCTCGAAGTCTCGCTTTGATTTCGAGCTCTGCTATTTACGTTGCCAAATAAAGTAAATACGAGTTACAACATATTTTGAAGCTCAAAAAAATGCACGAAAAACTTTGCAATTATTTTAATGCACACGTTTTGAAGCAGTATAAACTACTCTGCATAACAATATCAATTTACATGAGTTTTTTTAGTTCTCTTCCTGAGTTTAAAACAATAAACTTTTATCGATATAATTTTCTCTTGATTATTTTGTATAGCTACACATATGTACATACGATTTAAATTCTATTGTACTCAACAATTGTGTTTACTAAAATTTCCAATTAAATTTTAGTTGTTGTTGGTGTTTGAAAACCAAAACTGTATTTTAGTAATTAAGAAAATTTGTGTACTACATGAACATTATACAATATATGTGTCTCCACCCTCTCTCCCTCACACTTATCTAAGCTCATAACAATTACGCCCGGAGTCTCTATTGTGAACGATAATAATGTTGAATTTTGATATTATCTTTTTGATAAAATATGTACACAGGTCGATTTAAAATCAAATGAGTGTGGACCATGCAGTTCACAAAACTATTATGTTATAATAGATATTGTAATTAAAATCGATGTTTGGTGGTGCTTAAAATATATTGTATAAGACTATTTATGTATTGATGGGATATTAGGTTGAAGGTAATGGAATCATGAATCATTGTAGGCATTTTTCAACTGAATACTGTAAATATTTAAATAAATTTTAGTTAAATAGCAATTATTGGACTTTATTGGAAGACATAAATCTTGAGTTATTATTGTTATAGATTATTTTGTTGTTTAGATATTGGAAAAGAAAATTTTGGTGTGAAAATTTTTAAACCTTTTATTTAAAATAATTTTTTTGTGGAGCTTTCAAATAGCCATAGATATACACATTGTATATTAAATCCCTTCTATTAAAAAAATCGTTCATCCAAAACATTTTCGTTTTGTCTAAAGTATCACAAAATATGTCAGAATGATGAACATTATAGAAAAATGACCCCTTTAGAGATAACCTTTAAATCTTCAATAGAATACACATTCATAAATGGAAATTATTTATTCTTTTAATTTGCTGATTGCACTTTAAATAAATATAAAAGTTTTATCAAAAGTCCATAATTCTCTAAACAAAATGCTACAAGCAATCAAATATTGTTTCAAGATTTGCAATACAAAATTTAAAAGGTTTTTCATTAAATTTATTCATAATTCAGCAACAAAAAATCGATTTGCTACCATATTTTTCCCATTTTTGATTTATTTTGAATAAATATAGCTCACGTCAAAATGTAACGACTTTATTTCATGATATTTTTTTATTGATACAGTACCTATATAATTCTCTTACTAATGTTACTTCAAACAATGGAGAGTCATTATATTTTCATCTTCTCAAATTTGTGTAATCTTATGACATTTTAAAGTCACATATTCTTGTCACGTCACTGCATGGGTGCAGACATACAGTAGTCCAATAGCAATTCTTAGAAAGCTTTATGAAAGTAAAAAAAAAAATTGGTGGTCCTAATGAGCTAGACAACATTTACAAATAACCTTAACTAGAAAATAGCGTTCCCTATAAAAATAGCCGAGTCTAACCGAGCGAATAACAATAAATCCATAAATCAGATTGAAAAGTAAAATTTCAATTCTGATTCCAAATCTCAACATCGTTTAATGTAAACACAAAACAATCAATGTAATAAATAATAACGATAACAATCTAAAGCAGTACATTCGAATGCATTCAATAATGCTTAAACAAAAAAAAAAGGAGAAAATAAATGAAATTTAAGGAAGAATGAAAATAGACATAAAGGAATGAAATTCAAAACATTACATAGCATAAACAGAAAATATGTTGCTTCAAAATGCTCCTAATAATCCGGCAAAACGTCGACTGTCTGTGCACGAAAATATCTATTTTGTTTATATTGTCACTACGCATGTTCACCAAATGGCTGGAAAGTGCAACAGTGAATAAATATCCCCTAAATGTTGACGTCAAGTGCATTGAATTGTGAAAATGTTTCAATTGCTCTATCCCTACTGTGTACTCTGTATTATCGCATAACATTCAGTTATGTGATTGGTGCTGAGCGGGAAGGACCCTCATTTAATTCTCACTACAAATTTCGGTACGATTAAAACAGATTAAAACTTTTTTTGTGTCGGTGAAAATAAAATAAAGAAAACAGAAAAAAGAATAATAGTGGAAGGGAAAGAGATATTGTCATAAAAATTGAAATATTTCGGATCATACAGATCTGTGTCAATGTTATTCATTTCTCTGTGTATTTATCCATTGTGTTTTCTTTAATTAACTTAAATCCGATTACAAGTGTTTTGTGAACGTATGCGTTGTGTCGGGAATAATTACTGTTGAAAAAATTCATAATAGCACTTAGGTGTGGAAATAAAAAAAATCTGCACGTGTAAAATCACGCAAAAGTAGGATACACTTAGGAACAAAAACCAAAAATATACATTACAGTATCATAGATGTTGCAGAACATCCTTTAAAAAAAGGCTCAAATAATATTTCATTTTCAATGTTGAATGATGAAAAAATAATTTCAATCTTCGTACTGTGTATGTATTGTTGGTACGGTGAAGTAGACGAGAGAAATAAAATCTCAACGAGCACTCAGCATGAGGAGGTTATCACTCTCGTAAATAAAGAAATATTGCAATTGGCAAATGTGATAAATTACATGACTGTGCGTGCATATATATTTATTTATAAAGCTTTAAAAGGACGCAATTTGCAGTGTAAACAACAAGAATATAAGTTATATCTATGAACGGCTCTGTTGAAGAGGAAAAAAATTAAAAAAAATCGGATGCTCATAAATATTTGATGATAGGAACATAAATAAATTATTCCAGAGAGCAAGAAAAAAGTAAATTGAAATTTTATGGAGACGGTTTTGCGGAAAATTTGCATGATTTTGTGCTCAAGATTGAGGTTGATTGATTGACTGTAGATTTTTCTTAGTGAAGCAAATTTGTTTACATAAAAATTATTTATATTTGTGGATTTTATAGAAAAACAGGAAAAACAAAAATTCATTTGCTTTGTTTTGAATTTCGAAAATTTATTGAATTAAGAACAAAATCAATTAAAAGCGAAGTTTTGATACTATTGATACCCTTCTAATTCTAGACATTGACATAAAATGGACTTTAATTAGTGATTTTTCAATCAAAACTACAGTGATGACTTTGGATTTGCTTTGTAATTTTGGATGAACTTTTCAATTGTAAATTAAAAATCAAGAAAACCCATTTAAAATTGATTATTTTGAAAATATTTACAAAAAAAAAAACTAGAGCAAACATCAAAAAAAGGAATATAAAAATTAAACACCAGTAAATATCATTTTAAAATTTCTAATTTAAAAAAGTTGAACCTTCAATAATCATTACAGAATATAATTAAATAGACAAAATATGATGCTCAAAATATTAGTCAAAGTGACACATAAAAAGTTTTTGAAGAAAAAGTGAAATAAAAAAAAACAAAATTTAAAATTAACTCAAACAACTCAAGTCAAAGCAATTCTTTTCTACAAAATAAAGTGACAAAAAAATTAGTGAGAAAAATCGGTGAAGTTAAACTAAAGCGTGCATAAAATTACAAAATATCTCGCGTGTGTGCACAAAATACCCAGAAGGCACCAGAAACAATATAAAAAAGGCTGCAAAAAGTGCTTTTTTTATTTACATTGAATCAATAATGATTCCAAAATCGTTTTGCGTTTGAAGAATTCAAATTTTTTACACCAACAAAAATGTATAAAATATTTCAAAAATCAGCTTATATATATGCCCCCAAAAAACATGGTGTGTGTGGCATTTGATGTGCGTTTTCTGGTGCTTGTGTGTATAAGGAAATAATCAAAATATGTCGCTTATCAATTCCATCACATTGCCATTTCTCATAATATGTGCATGTTTGCCTTCATCTTCTTATTCATTCACTCAAACAACTCACGCTGTCGAAGCGTAGAGAATCGAGAGAAAAAAAAATTATTCTGTGCAAGTAATATGATAATAAGGAAGTGAACATATACAAAAAAATAAATATTAAAACTTTTCTGTTGGAATTTTCAAGCAAAAAAAGAGACATTCTGAACAATGAATTTATTTATATCATTATTTGGATTATTATTATGTGGATTATTATGCGAGTCTGTTAAAACACTTGGTAAGGAAAAAATTATCTAATAATTTTAAAAAATTTATTGCTTTTCCCACTATCGCAACGACAATAAAATACAAAATGCATTGCCATGTGCGTTTAGACAGCGAAAAATTTATTAAATAATTTTTTATAATTAAATTTTTTACTGAGTCACTGCAGCTGAAAACGAGAAGCTTTAGAGACATCATGTGTTGATCAAGTTTGCTTGGTGCTAGGATTATGCGATGATAATTTATTTATCTTTATTATGAGGTGATGCAGAGGGCAGCTGACGAGATATTTATCACATAAAACTTTTCAAACATTCGAGGATTTAGTTGCCACATACAAAACGCGCTTTAGAGGTTGGAGGAAGAATTATGTTGCTATAAGTTTTTTGGTTTGAGTTTGTTCCTTTCTGTTGGAATTGAATTAATGAGTTCGAAAGAAAACCTTAACTTTTTTAGATCAATTCTGATCCTTAAATGCGCTAGGCATTTCCAAGCTAATGAGCGAGGATGAGCTGAATCACTGCACTTAGACCTAATTATTAATATGAATTATTCAGACTCTGAAAAAAATAATTTACAAATATAAATTTCCACCACAACTTTAAAAATTTTCTCCTAATTGAAATTGAAATTTATTCGTTGAAACAGGTATTGCCTATTAAATTTCTAATTAAAATTCTACGAACTTAACTTGAATTCAAAATATTTTAATTATTTAAATTTAACAAAATTTTCATAAAATAATTCAGAGTTCTTCTAAAGCATTTTATGTATTTTACCTTCAAACTACTTCAAGACGATCCTTAATAAGGAAATTTGTTGATATTAATTTAAATACCAACATCACATCCAACAAGAATCCTTATTATAATATCCACACAGACCCAATTAATGAGAAACAATGAATTAATTATAGAAATATGTTTAATATTCATAAGCCACCATAAGTCCTTCATGATACATGTTCACATATTCTTGTCTAAAAATAACAAACAAGCTTCCAACAGAGAACAAGGAACTTACATGCTTGACATTTCTAAAGAAACTTTTTTTTTATTTCAAACTTAATGATGAAGTCATGACATTACCCCATGGAGCCAACTCATTTTTGATGTCTCTGAATGACAGAATGTTAGAACCCACATCATTGTTATATCAACATTTTCTAGCATAGTTAAATGTTGACAGAAATATGAAATATAAAACAGATTGTAATGTTTAGCATGGATGATGGGGTAAACATGTCGGGTTGAAAATAGGCAGTTTAGATTAAAAAGCAAGGGGTTTTTTTCAAAATAATTATATGTGTATGAAAGGTCATTTTTAAATTCATCCAGATTCTTAATTTACCCCCTCCCATCACATGTCTCCATCCCGATTGTTAATATTTTTAACTTGTTTCTGTTCTTTTTATTGTTTCTGTTCACTTGAGCAACAGAATATTTCAGGATAGGAAGTGGAAATGAAAATTTTATACAAATAAAACAGAGCACAGAACATAAATTTCAGTTTCCCTCAGAGCAGCAGGGAGGCAAAAACTTCAAATAGAACAACAAGAAAAAAAATAAAAATTTTCCCTTCACGTTTTGATGACTTTTTAAATTAAAAGTCCAATGTAATGCGATGTGATATACATGCTGAAACATAAATGCGACACACACAAAAAATATAAAGACGAGAAAAAAAACTGAAAACGAAATTTAATGAAACTTTCTTGTTAGCATTCGACATTATTTGTGCTTGTTACGCTTATATAATAATATTATATGTTATGAACAGATGAGGACGAAAATGGAAACACAACGCACATACGTAGCTACACACAAAAAATGTTGAGTGAAAAAGGTATACAACGCCTAGCAAAAAAAAATGCTATTTGTCGCTTTCAGGTGACATTTCACGATTTTAAAGGTGATGTGCCATTCAATCTCGTAACATAAATATTCTTGTTATGTGCCTTTATGCCTTTCTCACTAAGCAACAAAAACGCTACGCTAGAAAATAAAAGTGGAGGAAAAGTTTTTGTGTGTTGCGTTTCCTGTTTTTAGTATTTGAGGTTCTCATCAAGTTTAGGATATCAATTTGGATTTTGCTTACATTTTGTGTGAGCATTTTGTATTAAGTGAACAAAATCTTAAGGTCTTTAGAGGTCCTTAAGACCACAAAAAAGTAACATTTAACAGCGAGTGAAAGTGCAAATAGAATAGAAAAAGGTTTATGAATTTTATGATTGTATAATTCAGTATCAATTCTAACATGGGAAATAAAAGAATTAATTTTAAAAATTCCTGCGCATGTATGCACGATAATCAAGATATTCCAACGTATCCTTAGTGTATTGGACGTGTAATTTCAGGATATGATCTCAATTCTATTGTCTACAGGCTTAGGGATTGTTTTGAATATTTTTGGAATATATGGGATAAATTTAGGATAGTTTCCAAGCCTTGATGCAAACAAATAGAGGGGATAAAATTAATTACATTGGAACTTAAAATAAATTTAAAAACAATCTCTAAATTGTCAAAATCATATTGTCTTTAAATTCCTCTTAACCCTTTAATTTACTGCTGGAACCACTATTTATTACAGGCTTCAGTCGTAGCAGCCAGCAGAAATTCCACAAGAGAAGAAAAACTTTTTAATGTTCTTTTTTGCTACACAGCCAGATTTCTTTTTCTTCCATTTCCTTGTTTTTGTCTTGCATCAATTCTAATTTCATTTGGGAATTGTTCATAAGTTATGATTCTGATAAGATTTGTGTTTATGTTATAAATGAATCGAAAGGATTTTGGTACTTTTTTTTGGCAAAATCGAATATAAAACGAGAGCATGAAGGTCATAAAGATGAAAATTAGGAAAGCTGAGATGTGGATTGGAAAGCCAAGAATATCGATGAATATTTTTCCCTTAGGTTTTAACTCATTTTATTAAAAATAAAAAAGTTATAAGAGATGAGAAGCTAATAGGAAAGTTATTTTTACTTACTGAAAAATACACAAATTGCCTATTCCAAGATTAGTGAAAATTATCATCAAGATTGAAAAACTCGCGAAAAAGAAAATTATAATATATTCACAAAAAAATTTTGTGTGAATATGAAAAATTAATAATTTTTGAGATTATTATCTTTTAAGCTGTTGAAATATTTTAAAACTGAAATATCATTAGGTTTTTTTTTATAGCTTGTGTCTCCAGACTTTTAATGTTGTTCGTCCATTTATAAATTAATTAGATTTGTTGGCTACAAATGAATCTATTTATAACTTCCAACACAAACAAATTTTAATTATTGTTCATGATTAGCGTCAATCGATAATTATTCACGGAAATTACCTGTTAACATTCATTGCTCTTATTTATTAACTACATTATTAGGAACTTAAATATTCGTCCATTACAATTATAATTTCGCTGTCAGATGTGAAAACATGTTTATGATGCATGATTGCAGCCACATCAACCAAAATTGAATTACTGATGGTTGTAAGTTACAGGAAATATCAATTATTTCATCAATTTCCACTCAGACAATTAATATTGCCCTTTTAAAATGATTAAAATTCCCATCGTCAAATAGTTACTTTAAAAATGTCACAACTAATTAGTTCTGTAAATATTTGCTTATTTTATTCAGTGAGTTTACATCCTCTGTGTTTGCCACCATACACGTGTATGGAAGTTTTAATTAAATTTTCCAAAGACTCTTAAAATTCATTAAACGCTGTATTGAGTAATGAAAAATGTAAAGATTGCGTGGGAACCATATCGAGTTTACATAATTCAATAAAACTTAATGGGTATGTGTAGACTATAAGCTCACGAGAACATTTGCCAAAAAAAAATAACAAGGGGCTTCTAAAAATTCCTTTTTTTTTGGTGTAACACATTAAGTGAACGAGCCCTCAAAAGGTAATAAGTAAATTTTGCGGTAAATTAGGTTTGATAAAAATTTAAATTGATGAAAAATTTTCAGTTGATGAGTGGGACTAAAGCATGCTTATTAAAATTCATCACTGAGAATTATTAAGTGGGATTTAAAAACAGCCTTTGAGTTGAATTCTAGGCAATTAAGGTAATATGGTTGTAATCTTTGATTTTGGTCACTTTTTCAGCTCTAAGTGAAATTTAAATAAATTTTTCAATAAATTCTAGAGTATCTATTTAATGTCTATGACGTCAACTCGCATTTTTTGGAAAATTACTTTTAACTGTTGTGTGCTTTACAGCTTAGAAAATTTTTATGTTGCATTTTATGTTTCAATTTGATAATCTTTACGGTTGTTGAACATAACTCATGGTAATGACTGCCTTAACTTTTTAAAACTTTAAATTATCTCGATAAAATTATTTAAATAAAAACGCGTGCAGTTAAAATTTCATATTTTTCCTTATGACTTGAATATAAAATGAGGAAGAACAATCAGTTTAAATTTGAAAGAGATACAATAAGAGCTGAAAATGGTGCTTGAGGTACGCCACAAAAATACACAAAAACAAATTCTCTTTATTAGTTTAATCACACGTTTTATCTTCCTCGACGCATTCATAAAATTTATATTGCCAAAAATTTCAACCACGCACACATTAACACAATGACGTTGGCAAGAATGAACCAAACAAACGCAGGCAGATATAAGATTCATATTATTTTTTTCACTTTGCGTATATTTACAAATTTCGGATCTCGCATCTTTTCATCAACCCTAAAACCTGATAAGTTTGTGTTGTGCAACTTTCATCCTATTTTTTATTATATTTCTCTTTATACCACTTTGGAGAGGTGCTAATTACTAAAGGAAACGCTGTCGGCAAAATTAAAAAGAAAACTTCGTAAATCTTAATGATTACATCTCAATTTAAAATATCTATTTTGGGTCACTTTTATATTTATAAAAATAAATGTTCATTGGATAGATTTTTATGGATTATGCCTTTCCAAAAGATAAATAAAGTCAATCTTGAGATAAAAAGTTCTTTCTTTTTTGTTAATTAACAAAAATGATTAAAAAA